AATTAGGTAATCTTCCAATAACTTCCATTTAGACAAGCCTTCTCGTAGGATATACAAACGCAGATAGACAAATTCGAAGGACTGACGAAGTACTTTCTTATTTGGCACCTTGAAATACACTGATTGCCACTGCTAATCGCCGACTCATTGGTTAGGATTTAGGACGAAGGCAAAGTTATTTAGAGACAAGTCGAACTAAGCTGCACACTCGACCACGTTGATAAGGAAGTAAGGAAACAGCGACAGCATCTGAGCAGAATTTTTTAAACCTTAGTTTAGTCCAAGGGGCCGCACCTTAGCACCGGACGTACGCCCATGTTACTACGACAGACGGCCAATTTTTGGCTGTGTAGCACTTAAAAGCTCATTAAACGCACACATTTAGCAGAAATATTACATTGTTTAAAATGCAACATCACTTTAATTGAATTTGAGCAAGCGCTTATTGTCTTTTTCAGAAAACGATTGCATGCGGGCCACTGTCAAACTGTTTCAGAGCCTTGGTTCAAGTGTAGCCGCTACGGTAACTAAAAGGTTTCGTTCTAAATGCATTTATATAGCCAGAAGCACCGCTCTCGGAAGAAATTCTCCGGTTTAGCAGCTTGGTATGTCAAATTACTCTATTCCCTGCAACCATTTGAATAATCTCCCACTGTGACTTCACGAGTATGGGGTTATGCAACTTGATAAAAATCACAAAATAAGGTCATTGTTATGTTTGAAAAGCATCAGAGAAAATCTCTTCCCTTTATTAATGGCCCCAAAATAAACAGGAATTACTATAATGTGCACTTTGGTTTCCTGTTAAATGTTATAAATGTAATAATTTCAAAATTTTCAACACTCGGGAGTTTTCTGCAATACGGAAAAAATTCCCTCTCCATGTTATCTAAAAATTAGTTGTATCAGTACCGGTTTCGATGATTAACACAAAACCCCTAAGACATCGCACTGGTTTGTAAACTTATGTGAATCGCTAACCGGAGAAGCCAAAGTTGCCCGAACGGTTCCTTTGCAGACGATACGAGGTAACAATGGCAGGCTACTAATTTACAGTTGAACGGATCAACAAAAATCAATAGCGAAGCGTGTAATTTCTCCATAAAGCAGACCCTGGCGAAATTGTGCAATCGCAATTTTCTGCTTAATAACGTGTACCAGAAAGTGGTAATCGATTGCCGACCGCGTGAAGTGTTACTGGTCTGTGCCAACTCGTCAATGAGTGGTCTATTACTATTTCTCCAGTAAGCGAATGGCGTTTTGGTTCCCTGCGTTTTATTTAAAATTCATGTTAGCTCATTTCGTACCTGGATGTAGCCACCAACTTACATGGGTTTAGCATTTTCCAGGGTTGTAACTTAAACTGGAAATTAAGCAAGAATAAAGTCAATTTCGGAAAGCCGTGTTTTAAGTGGACTTTTTTGTTGCTTTCTTTGAAAGCAAAAATGAAGGCAAATTCGACAAATTCGTGGCAAATGCAAAGTGCAAGCAGTTTTTCTTTACTTGTAAAGGTAGGGTAAGGAGGTTCAGCGCAGAAATAAAAGTCCGACGCAATTGAAGCACAAATGACCAGTTTCTAAACTTTGCTTGTTTGAATTAATTGCGCCATTTTGATTGCTGCATAGGCATAAAACCCCTGACACTGGTTTCGTGTTCATTTTATGTATCCGGGCACTGGAGAGGGGTGAGATGGGAGGGTGTATTATCAGCTTCTTTCATTCACAGGCAACCGCCAATTGCTTATCGATAACTATAATCCCAAAGCACATCGGATTCCTAATGCTTCCCTCGGACCTTCTTCAGACCATTGCGACATACGTTAGCTAATTGAGAGTAACAGTCGACCATCATGATAATTTAACGGCATCTAGAATAAATGTACGGACGAATGTAAAGGTATACTTTTCCTGGCCCTAGTTCCAGATTTCTCCACAATTAATACCCAGATGTGGGGGGAGTTACAGAGGGTCTAATTTGGCTGACCAGATCTGATGGATAATGTGGATGTACAAATCTACCACCAGCCACTCTCGGGTTGTTGGCTGTGAGTGCTAGTAAGTCATCTTGCTAGGGCACGTGTGTTTCCATGTAGACTGTTGTTTCGAGGTTGAGCCCTTGTTAAAACGAGTCAAAAGACAGCGAGGTATTCATAACTCACGACGCAGCGCGCTACAATGCGCAACTCACGCAGGCTAAAGTTAATTGCATGTCACTCATGTTTCAATTTGGCTTCACACGTTCATGTTTGGCTAGTTGTAATTGCCTCGATTCCTTGATCGGGCGCTTAGGCTACTATGCGCTATTTTCCTGGATTGCACCACATTCGATTCGCTTCCTCCGTGCGCCACTTACGTAATTTTTGATTGTTTAATATACCTGATCCACCGATGATTTTAGTCGACAACTCCTTAGGTTGATTGAATAAAACTAGCTTTCGATTAATATTTTGCTGTTTATTTCTTTTTTTACTATTAATTAGCATTGCTCCATTTAGAAAAAAATGTCTACATGACAAAACGCGCATGTTAATCGCGCCGTCCTTCTTCATTTCCTCGGTTAAGGTAGAACTAATGGGTGTGAAAGCTTTCAAAATTTGCGCAATATCGTAGCCGCCACGCTTTGTAGATGTGCACACCGGTCTGAAACCAGGGTGATAGACATGAACATCTGTTTTTGACCTCGTTGTGGTCGCATTATCATGTCCTGACCCGAACAAGAACTGACTACTGAAGCACAACCTCGAGGATGGTGATGATGATGATGAGCGTGGCTGTTCGGGACCACGCCGACCATATCGAGTGAATGCGAACCTGCCACATGCGACCTCTTACATGACCAACGTCTGATCCAGTCAAAATCAAGATAGAGTAGTTGGTAAAATATATTTTGGCCAACGTGAAGTGCTTTACCTTGGAAGCCATAACGAGCCTGTAAGGAAAGTAACACGTAGAACCCGATTCAAAGCGCCTCAATTCTTCCAAAAATATTTGTTGCAGAAATGTGACCTCACAAGATGTTTTTATTTTAACTTATTCTATTTAAACAACACGCAAGCGCGTGAATTTTCATGTGTTTTTTTCGGGGTACGTTTTGCATCGCACAGCCCACCTAAATCGCTGTTTTGTAAGTTGTAACAGTGGACAAAACAAGCCGCTTAGTCTGCAATCAGTTCAGTTTCAACCATAACTTAAAGACGATGGTCAAGATTCACAGAACGGATTTCTTCTTCCTTTTAATAGGTCGTAGAACAGGCAAAAGAAACGGAATTGCATAATTCAAAAAGGTATAGGGAACTAATAGAGGTAAGTTCTATTAGTCTTTGTATTGCTTTTATTTGAGTATATTATGAATGCATTTGAGGGAATTACCTGCCTTGGCTTAATTCCTGCAAGGTTTTTTTTAAAATTATATTTTTTACACCAACGTGTTGCTGATTCGACATTCACCATGTAAGACAATTTTCATCTGCTAGACGAATACTTAGACAAAACACACCACTGACGGAACGCGAGTGGTGAAAAGTGCTGAATTCAATAAATTTTTGTCTTACTTTCCCAACATTCCTGATTAACTAGATGTAAGGCGTTTCTTTGTAGAGTATTTAATCACTCCCTGACCTACCTCCCTAATGCTATTCGCAGGGTACAGAGTAAGGTAGGGGGACAACTAGGAAGACAACTAGAAGACAAATGGTAATGCAGTCGTGGTTGTCCTGACAATTAACACCCAGATTTTCAGGCAAATTTATTAATCTCGACAATTTGTGTGCACAACTCATTGCAAACCTCGTTTCCATGTCTTTGAGCTGGAGTGCAAACACGTTGCACTTGAGGTAACTGTTTGCCTCGAACAGAATGGTGGATCAAAATTTTACTTAATACCTTCCGAGACAATACTTGTTATAAAATGAAGGGAATTTTGCAACCCGAAACACCTCTGTACGTACGACGCAAAGTCGTTACAGCCGATTGTATAGGGACTATGGGTCCCAACGTTTTTCGTGTATTCAAGTTTAGATGGAAGTTTAGTGTCTCAGGCCAGGTGTATGTATTTTAAACGGAATTCACTAACCCACCACTGCGACCTTTTGGAAACAGGCAACTAGCACCGAGCGATAGGCCCATTTATCGTTCTAAAGACTGGTTCTTGTTCAGCCATGCCACGGTGGTACATATGTTTATGCTAAAAGCAGGTATGGTTTGTGAATGACCAGTGCACCATTGAAAGCACCAATCGAAGGATACAGGCAGTTGATTATCGAATTACGCGAATTTCCCATTCTTTGTCTAAGCCATTTGAACGCTCGAATCATTTGGGGAAGTAGTGGATATGTCAGTAGATGTTATAATTAAAACAGGAAAACAGAGGCCACCTTTACAGTCACATTGCATGATAAATAATTTTTCATTCATTTATGAAAGGCCCTGATGAACGCGCAGGTTTTAACCTGGCCATCGAAAGCTCTCATTTGGGTTATTAAATGAGGTCACTCAAGAGGCGGGGGCCGTTATAACTCAATGAAATCATTGCAAAATTTGGTGAATGATGCCTTCAAATTAATCTTAGATGACCTCAGGTATCTAAAAACAAAACATTGCACACCAGGGGAGCCTTGTGCAGTTACGACAAGCTTGCGCGCCTGTACGGTGTCAGTAAAAGTTAGCAGTCTTGCTTGCAGATGAAAAAATAAGGGCACCTAAATGTTTATGCAGCGATTCAATTCTTAAAAAGGTCAGCAACCATGGCATATGGGTCTGCAGCTTTAAAACAAAACAACAGGGCCAAATTTCTATGCCTAAATTAATCCAAAACCCCAGAATAAGGCCAGTTTGCCTGGAGCTATTTCATTGATGCAGTAGTTTGGTGAGTTGCTTCATCACCTTCGGATTTCTCAGTGGAATTGTGGGTGCTTCACATGTTAGGTACTGAAGCGCCAGAGAACGGAATTTGCAAAGACACGCGAAGTGCTAAAGGCAAAATGGAAGGCGGACGTTAAGCGCATGGTGGACGCAGAAACTGCTCTCTTTAAGGCCAAATCGGCCTACTTCAACCGCTGCCAAGCTGGTGTGAAGCTTCGAGAAGATCTCGCTGCGGCCCAGGCCATATTGAATGAGTCGCAGGCTGGTCTTGTCGCCGCTTCGACCGCCAATCCCAGCCCCGCTGTCCCTCCGCCGCCGTCTGGCGCTGCTCCTACCAACGGCGGTCTCGCACCGGGCATATCCGCTTCAGCGGAAAGCGTTTCAGATAACCCTACGATCGGTACTACCCAGTCGCCCCCCGTGGACCCCGCTCTCTTCAACGCGGTTGTCAAGTACAAGGGCAAAGTGGAGAGGTTAGAAAAGCAACTGGGTGATAACGACAAGAAGGTATATAAAGCTTTACGAAATTTATAAGCATTCGCTATACGTCTCAGAAATTTTTCTAATTAGATGATTCACTTCTAGGATTATCAGCTTTGACATGCAGCACGGTGATCATTCAAGTATTACTAGTCATAACGAATGCATTAAGTTTTGTGTTTCTAAAGGCAGTTATGATTAGCCTTCGCGTACCTCATTTTTCCCTCAGTTCCCCTGACATTATCTTCAATTTGGTTCAACATTTTATTTGAGTAACGCGATTAAATTCTGAACCTCACTTGATCTAAATCTCCTGTAAATTCACACCTACCGTAATAATGAACTTCTAAATTATTTAGTCCTGAGGCAAGTAGACTTCTGAATTTAGCTTAGGAAGACATCTTGCATAGAAGAAGCATGGAAAAAGACTGGGCTCATGGATTTAATGCTCTTGACAGACGCGATCTGCGTGAATTGAGAAGAACTGTTGAGGCGCAATCTGGCGACGGCTAAAGGTCGGAAACGGGGCCCCCTGAAGTGATCGTGGTGCGTAGACAAGGACGTCGCGTAGGCGAAATGCTAGGGGGCACAGAGAAAACGAGTCAGTGAGCCTGTCACGCATGGATTGGGTGCGCAAAAGGTAGCAAAGCGGTCACCCTACCAGCCACAGAGCTTCAATTAGGTCCATTTCGAGCCTGGGAGGTGCGAAATCAACGTTTTCGGTTGCAGAGCTGTGGAGAAACCGAAACTAACGGGCACAAAAATGCAATAAATTGGCACAGATCAGCCGAACGTTTGAACTATTCGCTCACATGGGTGTTTGGATAATTGGGTCGCACTTTGGTTAACGTAGTTTTCAACGTCTAGTTCAAGAAAGTGCTCATCGAAGCGTCAAACTAAATTGCTCTAACGATATCATCCGAAGCAATTCCACCTAACTTCTCAGAAAGCCCCTTGTTACATCTGTTGCAAATTAATTAGCCACCTGAGAGCATTGGTAAACGGCAAAAGCTATTTCGATTGCAGTTCTGTTTATACAATGTGGTGCACAAAGTTCATTGCCCTTAAAATGGCATTTTCCATTCCTTTTAACTGCTAGGAAATTAGAATTCATTGCTCGCAGGAATTATCAGGGCCTGCGTGCTACCATTTGCGTAAATCAACCAACTTTTACACACTAATAGTTTATATTATAAAATATAAACCAAAAATCAGTAAATATCTTAATATAGCTTAAAATATTTTGTGATAGGATTCAAAATAATTTATTAATGTACACAAGTTTATACAAAAGCAATATCTGTTTAAGGTAACAAATCATGATCAATGTAATATTTTTACATGGTAAATATTATTGAATCTGCACGACTCAATAAGATTTACCTGAAAAATTTATAATAATATAGGAATATGACGTGGTTAAATTAAGTAAATTAAATTTGCTTAGGATGTACTAGGGTTTTCATCATAATGTTAAGTCGTAGATGACTACGACACTACGCACACAACGCATCTACGTAGTGGAAATCCGAAAGTTTCTTTGTTGTCTTGTAAAATTTCGCGTAATTGATGGATAGGATCCTTCTTTTTTAGATGCAAAAGCATGTGGTTTCTCAAGATTATTTGAAACTGGTACGCAGATATGTGGTTTAAACTGCGCAAAGTTTTCAATCTCGCGGTTTCGCGATAAGATCATGCAAACAATCGGTTTTACGCACCTCAATTCTTACATGTTTCATAACTTGACATCAACGTTCAGCTCACCAAGCTCTTCGTATTCTTAAACCCTGTACCACTCTAACGCATCAATTTGTCCAACTTAAAAGAGTTGGCAATGCTAGGCAGCACTAGCTGGTAATGAGTAAGCATTTGGTTAAATTAGGAGTGAAGAGAATGAATTCAAATAAAACCTTTAATGCTGCAGAATCAAAGAGTTTTTGAAGGAGAAATTCTTAACTTCGAAGTAAGCAAGTTTTAATAGCCTCCCAGTTGCTGGCAGTTAAATCCAAACGTAAACTGACGTTTATGGTGAACCTTCTTTTATTGAAAACACCTTGCTGAATTGTTTGAGTTTGTTAAAACCGACAGGAAATGGGATCTGTGCTCAGTTTGTCTTTCACGGTTACCATTAGCAGACTTTGGTAACTACCACACGCCAGACCGACAAAAATTCCCCCTTTGAACGAGTTGAAGCACGTATTCCTGATGTTAAACAGAAGCCAACATAAAGTTACTTATTTCCTCTTGTAAATATAGGGCCAGTAGTTTTAATATCGCAAGTATTCTATTTCGCAAATTCTTGGCTGTAGCCTTCAAATACGTCCACAAAGTAGAGTGACGCATAGAACTGTTTTTCAAAATTACGAACGTTTGAGTTTGATCACAAAAATACTTTTTTTCTTACAAGTAATATTTTTTAAAACGCCATTCGCGGTCTCTATTAAATAGGAATTTTCGTACAACGGAGGTGAGTCTTTTTATTTTAGTCTTGGCTAGACTCAAAACTCGTTTGGCTCGTCAATTTAAGAAAACCCTCCTGCATAACACGGCTGCTTGGATTCATTATTTTAATTCGGTTCATTTTGTTGACAATTGCTTTCGCTTTGAAAGTAGATCAAGGCGAATCCACCTGATGCCTAAATTTCTCCTCCACAAATAACAGAACCGGAGAAATTCGATGAAAATGCAAACAACTATAAAGAAAAATTAAACAACACTTCACAACCAGGAAAAGTCAGCTAAAGAATAAATGATCAAGACATTTTTCTTGTGAATATTTACTTCTGACTGCCTGTTCTCCCACTCTTCGATTTCACGCATTCTACAAAAGACGCACGCTCGAGACGCTGATTCTGTGTCTGTGTGTGTGTGTGTGCGCGTGTGCCTTCCCACCGGCACTTTTTTCCCTAGTCGCAAACCCGGTGACTCGCCTATTCCGGTTCCTGTAAAATCCCTTTTTCAACTGAACTATTTTGGGGTGTTGTGTGCACAAGCTTAAATGGCAGGACAAGAAAAACCCAGGCTGATCCCACTTGTCTGTGTGCACGGATACAGGAACACGAAGTACACGTGCTTGTTAATGGTTTTAAATTGTGTGCTGCAGTGTAAACCCGTAACAGACATCATTCCCAGCCCCACTTTTGACGGCGGCAGAACCTGCCAGTTTAGGCCGGCATGAACAAGTAAATTTATCAAGCCGCATCTACTGAGAAGCATTCGTTGTAAAGTGCGCAAATCGCCTGCTGATTTTACCCACACCGAAATCTTTATCACAATTACACGATCACTGCTGGTCTGATTAAAATTATTGTATTCTGAACAATACGCATCAAGTTACTTGAAATAAATCTGCAAGTTAAAACTAGGATTTGAGCCTTTCGTGCAATTCGCTCTTAAAATCGGTCCGTTCTGTTTTATCTAAATATTCAGTTGTCCCGGCTTACATCTGTATCTCGGTCATGAACGTGGAGGTTGACCATCACCCTGTACATAAACATGTCGTGCTGTGTGTCCGTGTATCTTCGGTTTACCTTACGAAATATAAGCATCTAAAGCCGGTACCTTGGACACATTAAATTGATATAGCTGCAACATGGCCCCTCCTACTTACCCAGGTCCATCGCTGGTCCTGAGGACCAAGCTCTCAGACTACACATAAAATGGAAATTCAATGGGGTACATAAAGCATCCGCATACTTTCTTGTATGGTAATCAGCTTGAGCCTCAAACGATTACTGATTTAAACTTACCCATTTTTTGGTATAAACACACAAAATAATCTTTTCGTGAGACTCCTTCAAACTAAATAATGGTGAAAATACTGGAATTCGTCCTACTTTATGTGACTGGATGTGTGTTTGCTAACCTTCGTTGATTTAATCCTTTTGATTCACAAAAATACTAATAAATGCGACTGTGTTGTTTGCTTGCTCCTGATACTCAGCCCAGCATATTTTATTGGCTATTTGGTAGGCCATTGGTTTACCTCCCGGAAGGCTTTAGGTGCGTCATAAATGTCACGGAAATGTGACTGCGTGTGCCCAAACCATAGTCCGCTTCACGTCTCCAACGTCCGTGCCACACGCTTTCCGTTGGTCTGCCACCAAATGACTTTATGATAAGTTCTTGCGTGGAGACAGACAGGGGCCAAAAGTAAACGTAAAATCCCGCAGCATCGAAAGATGATCGACTCGAAAAACTCGGGCAGGTTCTGATCCTTTTTCGACTCTATCGTAGTGTCGAACGAATATTTGACGGCTGGATAAGTCACTTAGTGGCTTCTGTGAATGACTAGGAAAGAGTGCTTTTATTAACATGACAATGTAAATCCCTGGAAAGCATAAGGGGCAAACTGATAAAATCAATAACTTGGCCTGGAGGGATAAATTCATAATCATTCGGGACTTAGGGGGATAATAAGACGGTTTGAATTTAGCAAGAAAATACACAAATTTGCTCACTTGCGTCCTGTAGAGTGGTCGCTCGTTTTACATACCTTTGCGTATTAGCTTTCGGCTCGCTTCTGTCGTCTTCTTGACTCCTTTTGTATTCTTTGTTGTAGGAAATGGAATTAATGTATGCCTATAGGGAATCGGTGGAAGCTGCAAATGCAAGGCTTGTCGACCTGGAAAAAAGCAGGGTAAGCAACACAGGAAAAAAGATCTCTATCGGTTTGGTGCGAGCCGCGGGCTTTCTTTCGAGGAATTATTTGACAGCACACACGTTAGAAATATAACCAGATTTTAAACGGACAATTGTTCTGCTCACTCCTTTTTGCCAAACTTTGAGATTGTATTTTACACAAACTTGGTCACAAGCGCTGGCAAGTTAGCATTCACTAATGCCGTTGGCTGGAATCAGAACGTACAAGAGCTAAAATTTAATCAGCCTCAAAAGGCTAAAGACTGTCTTCATAACGTATGGTAGTCATGCTCCATGCTACAGCTCTTTACAAGAAGGTGTTGTTGTTGAGGCACTACACAAAGAAAACCTGATCTGACCTGGTGGCTGTCAGCATTCAAACAAGTACGATGCCAATGACGTCGGTTATCGGCGAAATGTCATCGCCAGGGTTTCAGGGTAACTGGTCAGTGCAGTGCAGTGCCAGATGTCATTCATGCACCAAAAAGTTCCATTTATATCTGCCAACTTATAGAATCCACGCCACAAACTGGAAAGTCTGGCTAAGTAGAGCGTGTTCGTTTAAATGACCTCAATCCACGCTGTAGAATTGGGATTGAGGTTAAAAACGTTCATTTTCGCCAGGTCGGTATTTCAGTCATCTTCAATATTCAAGAAATCCCCAATAGTTAGTGAAGTACATAGTTTAGGGATATTGGCGTAGGTTTTGGGGAACCTGCAAGTCTAAATGAAAGAAAACTCGATGGCCTTATCAGTCGAATCCCATCGTTTTTTTCGATTATCAGGCACTGTAGTGGTGAAAATCAAGTGTCTTATCTTAGTGCAAACCAAACCAAAATGCACGAATCTTTATGAATGACCTTCTCATCGGTCATCTCAACAAACTTCCTTTATTGCTTCAGGTTGAAATCATATGCGACACCAGATTAACGGTTGTAAAATGTGACGAAGTTGTCAGTGATTCGATGGCCGAGCTCATCAGTCACCTTTTTGTCACACGGACGAAAATGCTAAGCGAAGTAAGTTCTCTTAAAACCCGTTTTATTTGGTTATTCCCTCGTCCCCGTTATTCACCCCAATTGAAGGCCATAACTGTTCCTAGTCCCCACGCGAGTCAAAAGTGCAGTAACTTTTAGTAACGATAAAACGCTGTAGTTAGAGGCGATTTACCTGCAAGGCAAACAATGTGGGTTGTGTCTTTAAATTACCTAAGATTCTCTAAGTCGCTCTTGGTGCTTCGAATCCTGCAACTAAATTAAACCATCAACCACCTCATGCAACTAATCTCAAGGAAGACTGATTCGTAAAATCTTGCCTATTGATAATTTAATCTAACTTGACAAATTCCGTGCACAAAATCGCACTCAGATGCCAAAATATAGGAGACTTCATGGGAAAATATTTACGTATCGATTTCGGTTCGCCAAGCCACATCGTTAATGGTCTTACCGATACTATGTCGAAATGCTTCAATGATAAACCATTGAATAGTACATCATTCTGCCAACTAAGTTTAAAGGGTTTTGTGCATTGGTTGGGGTGTAAAAGCGTTTTAATTGTAAATCAGTAGTTCGTGAAGTTAAGTTCTCGATTTGGGACTGTTATTGTGGTCAAGTGTTCCTTTGTGTGTCAACCATGTGCTGCAATTTGATCCCCTATAACAAGTGATTTAAGTTAACGGTCCTCTCAGTAGTGGGACATAAAGAGCAGTAAAAGCTATCTCATGCGCCTTTTTTAGATCATTGCTACCGTCTTGAGGGTTTATGATATTGTTACTTCATTGGCACCCAAGTGAAAGCTGATTATGTGGATTCGATTCATAGCGAGATTTCTGTGAGTGCTTAGAAGTATTAGTGGTGGCTGCGTGGACTAGTGCGTCTGTTCCATCTAAAATCTGATTTGAGAGCAGTAAAACGCAGGGACCCATGTGGTTTCGTCAAATTTACTCGTTAATTTTAAAGACATGTTAGTTAGGGTAGAGAATTGTGGTGTCTACGCATGACTTAAATTCCAACGTGATGTAGAAACCCGTTTTCCTTCTGTCAGCACACGTTAAACTTAAGGTCTATTACTTGTTTTGACTTCAGGTAATAACTGTACATGTTGGCATTAGGTAGCTTTGCAAAAAGTATTTTGTAAGACCTGCAACCTTTTTAATTTTGCCTGTTAGTGCTGAAATTTAAACTTCTCGAAGCTGTCAAGATGTCAAACAGATTTTTTATCTCTTTGTTCGCTGAGCAGCAGACTGAAAACCACTAACAACTCATAATTATTCCCTTAGATTCTCAGTAATTAAAGCCACCGAGTTTCTCTTATGCACATACTTAGCCTCAAAATTTAGTTAAAATTCTGATTGGTCGAAAAATGTCAGGCTAATCAGACAATGTTACCTCTAATGTTAATTGAATCATGACCTTAAATGCGGAATAAGCAAAATAAGCTTATGATGTTTTTTTAATCGGGAATAAAATTGGGCAGAACAATGTAAGTCATAAAAGGGGCGAACACCTGAGAATGTGTGAACCTCTAATGTATTTTGGCATGGGTTTTTCTGGTGAAATCGTGAAGGTGGGCTAACCGTTTTCTAACTTTAGCTGGTTAGTGTGCAAATCGAAGTAACTTGTTTACCAAACGTGTACGTGTATCTTCCAGACTGACTGAATGGTTCATTATATTTTGTTCCTAAATTCAATGAGGATGGAACAATGTCCATAGTTTTAACGAATTCCGTCAAACTCTACGCTGAGCGAGCTGAAAGATTTTTATGTAGTCATGCTGTAGTTATACTGCATTTGACACACCTGTGTATGGGACTTGTAGACTGTGGCATTCAGTTACCAGAAACCTGCCCCAAAATGGCACTATCATGTCTCGAAGCTACCTGAGGGCCTGGAAGTTTGCCGTGAATATGAACATTCTGCTTGACTTCACGTCATTTTATTCCCTGCATTCCTTAAACCCCGAAGCATAGAATTTCTTAAAGCATAATGAATGTTAGTTAAAATAGCCTAATTGCAATAATTTCTTTTCAAGTAGGGGATCGGGACAAGTTTGTATTTGTTTTTGCTAACTTTTTGCCAAAATACAGAACCTGAGGAGTAATAAGTAATGTTATGGCTTGAACAATATGAAAAAGGGCCTTTTTGTGGATCAAATCCATTTTCTTTCAAACGTTTCCCCTGAAACTGAAACCAACATCGATGTGCGACTACTGTGTTCCCTTTCCAACCTTTCTGGGTATTTTTCGGATTCCATTTAATCTTTTTTTATTCTATTGCCACTAGTTTGATTAAAGCTGATAAATTAAATGGACTACTCTTTGAATGTATTTATTTTTTGTGAATCAAAACGGTAACACGTATCCAAATATACCGTCTCAGGCAAGCACACATGGAACATCACGTGTTCAATATCGGGAACTGTGACTGCACACAGAAACTGGTTATCGCGTCCGCATTTTGCACTGAAATTGATTACCAAAACGTAAAAATCAACCAAACATATTACGGAAGGTTTATTCTCATTTGAAGACCTTGTCGCAATGGCTGAATGGTGACCTCATGCTATTGAACGCTCCACATTACGAGATTTTAGAACATGTCAATGCCTCGGTTAACCAGTGATATCTGAAAATGCAGCATCCAAAAAATCCGTCAACTCGAAAGATCGCTTGTTGGATTTAACCTTTCGCCTAGCACTTTCCAATCTTTCCCTAAACTCGTTAGTTAACGAGCAGTCGTTCAGCAGGCACCCACGTTTTGAGGCGAGGGCGAAATTTAACCCACACCCACCGCAGAAACTGGACCCGTCCACTGTAAGATAGACTGTCTCCTCTCCCCTGCTAGAGCCATAGGTTTGGTCCCAGTCTTAATCTGAAGAACTGCTTTCTTCAGAGTACCTTGTTAATTGAAACCCCCTGTTCGATCTTTATTTTTTTCCTCACGCATTCATCTGAACAACCGTCGTCTGTCTATATTATAGTATTAGTAAGTCAATGATACCTTTCGCGATTGGTGTAAATTGAAAAGTCACAACCGCTTCGAATACCGATCCACAAGAAACGACTGAATTTTGACTGAAGTGATAATTTTCGGTCCGGAGTCTGTAGTTTTATACACGTGATATTATTTCTCTGATGGGTAACTTACTTCAAAGTGCCAGTGTGTTCATTTACGTGTGCTATTCGAAGTCACGATTTCGCTGCATGAAAGTCATCTCAGGCATGTAAATAAAGTGCCATTAAATGTGGCGAATCCTACACATAAGATCGAACTTACTTCAAACCCAACTTGGGATGCTTATTTAAGTTTTATTTCGCCCAACGCAATCAATGGATTTGCACTAAGTCTCAGGTACAACTTTCACCCTTGTGATAAAAGTAGAATTCAGGGAGAGCGATGGTCTGAGGCGATCAATTTAGGCTTTGACACCTGCTTCAGACTTCTGGTACACTTTAAGACATGCTTTTTTCGTTTATTCCTAAAGTCCCGTTTCATGCGTAGATCTTGTCACATAAGCATTAAGGCAAATTGGACTTCAACCAACGAGTGAAGAAACCCAGTTGGACGCCCATCAACTTGGATTTTTTTGACAACAAGTTACTCAGAAGGGAAATTCCTAACTCATCATTGGACAGGTTTGTTGTTTAAATAAACTACTTCTATCAAACATAAAGTCTGTTAGCAATCAAGTCTCGAACAAAACGATTTGTAGTGTCTAAGATTATTTTTGAAATGAACTGTTTCGGAGAGTACTAAAATAGCTGTTGTGCTTTTAATTTGCCTATCTTTTAGTACGAAGATGTCGCAACCAAGTTCCAGAATTACATCCCTGGCCAACCTTACCACCAGTTCCTGCAAAAACACGTGCAAAATGGAACAGATGTTATTCTAGAAAAGTACCAGTTCGATGGTTATCACGACAATCCAGCCAATGCTAAGGATCGGTGGGCTTTCCTCTTCCTATTCCCATGTTCAACTAACTTGAATACCCCTTATAATTTATCTCTTCCAATTTAGTGGAGATGCTGCCTTTGGCAAATTCGTCTCGCGGTTTGCGCAGCTCTACTCCAAAGACACATCTGAGCCAAATGAAGGTAGGTGGTTTCACTGATAAGTACTGGTGGCGTATAAACCGGATATCCTTAACTTCGACCCGATGCTTCAGAATTCCTTAAATTTGAGCACGCAAACTATTGGCAATGTATGCCTATTTACTAACACACACACAACAGCAGCGACCATACCAAACATTTTAAGAACTGGATAGCCAATGCTTGGAAAAGAGAAATTGTGATGATCGGCAGTGTTAAAGTGGTAGTAAAGACCTTCAGGGAATGTGACTACATTCAAAGACCTTAGACGCCGAACAAGTAAATCTTAGCGAAATGCACAGTCTGAGGTTGCCAGTAATATCTTAAATTTAAACAATTTGGAAGGGATAATTGAGGCAAGTACATTTCATTAAATATTTTATATTATTACTTTGGAAAAAAGTAGGAACTAGCTTGTTGACTGCCTGGCGTATGGTTTAACCACGCTTCTTATCTTATCAACACATCGTTGACCATCGTCCAAGGTGAATGAAGCTCCGTCGCAAGTCTAGTAAACGAGATAAACGAATGTCAGCGCTGTTACGACTGCATGTCTCACAGTTACGTGTTTACTCCAAGTTACGGAAACATATGACCTGGACGCATGCCTACACGCTTTTGCCTCAGTATGCGGATTTGGCCGTGAAAATGATGCTTCATGGACAAGATCATAAAAAATTGAACCGTGTGTGAAAGTTAAGTTAAATGCCTTCATCCTAACCAAAGGCATTAATCGGTGTAAAGTTAATTATTACCACCGTGCATTACGTGATGTTTGGACGGGTGACAGCAGACGCGATTGGGCAGCCTGCAAACCGCTTTCTGACAACATTTGTTGTTTTTCGTTGCCGAATTTTATTTCTACAAGTTGGGAGAAGTTAAGAATACAGAAAGGATCAAATTTAAGACTCGTATTAGCGATTTAGCCATTCAACTCGTGTTTAAAGGAAAATCACGCATGAGCTGAAAAATAAAGTACTACTAATGGGCCGATCAGTATCAAGGATCCGGGCTGGAGTGAGGGGATAGGGCATACCAGTCTTTGGAAAAGCCATTCTTCGTCGACGGAGACTTCAACTGGTGTAGTCGTGTGGTTGCTTGAGAATTTATAAGGCAAAGAATTCAAAACCTTACCGTATCGTGTTGATCTGTGCTTGTCTAAAATGCAGAACAAATTGCTGGTAGAAATCTGATATTAATAAACCTGTTTACTACGGTTCTAATGCATTAAAATTAAAGTGTTTTTGGAATAATACGTGTGTGCCTAATTTCTCTAAAAGGTACAAAAATGTATGGTCAGTTATACAGGAAATAGTTGATACATACGTGATGCCTGAAGAACAAATGTGGAGCTCATTGGCCAAGCCAAGCTGAACTTTGAGTGGTCCAAGCACCTTATACAATGAACCTTATTGATATCTCTAATGTTTGAGCCACTTTCAATTATTCGGTAATGCTCAGAATTTTTTTTTAAATCGAACTTAGATATTTTGCCTGGTGGTTTGGATTTTCCGTGTTTTTTGCAGCTCGTAATGCTCCTTTCCTTTCGAAGAAAACTCTGCGGACTCCGAGAAATTTCTTGCATGCATTATCGAACCAAATATGGGAGATTTAAACCTTTTGTCATAGTGATAAAACGGCTAAATGCCTTATTTCAAGATGATTAAAACAATTCATTATGTCTAGTTGTAATAAAGAGGCGGTATAAAAGTGATTGGTTTTAGGGCTCTAAGTAAAAAAAGCAGAATTTTTTCCGCTACTAGGACATATCTCCAGTCAAATCAGTTCATACTGATTGCAGGTAACAAACGCATTAAGCAGATTTTATGCAGCGAATTGGGTTAAAATTTAATAAATTTTTATGAGTGACGTTAAAGGACTTTTATGGGCCACATCGTTAAGTAGGTTCTGATTTGTACCGTCGTAATGCGTAAACCACCCCAAGTGTAAGGAGGAAGAGAGGTAATTGGTCGACACCCTCGCGGAGTTTTGTCGTTGGTCACACTATCAACTGCCGACTGTGCAAACACGACGTCTGGTTGGTCTAGCCGTTTTAAACTACAATTCTTTTCGCTTGAACTGGAGTGTATCACAGCCAGTTAAATTTATTATTCTGCTAATACTTCAGGATGCTGGAAATCTAGAGTATCTTGCAAATACGCCAAAATGTTGTGTTGAAGGCACCGGAATGTGGTTTTGAATCTCGAGAGGACTGAGGCCTGAGATGGCGGGGACAACCGTTCATTTGATGGCTCAAACTGGCTGTATTGTATGCAGTTTTTGATCTAAAACAGCTTGAGTGACCTAGAAAAAGTACAAGTGACCAGATGAGTTGAACGGTTAGCGTGGGCGGTCTATGCACAGGGGTGAATGAGCTTACGGTCCCGCACAGCTGACGGGCAAGCTATGAAAAAGGCAGTGTGTCAGAGGGCGTGGTGACACACTGCGTGAACGTGATTCGACACAAGGGACTTGTGTTTGTGTTGTTTTTAGGAAGTAAAAATACGTCCGCTGTTTTAATATGCCCAAATCGCCTTCGGTTCCCGACCCTCACCTGAGACATCTTAGGCTAAGACCTGTACTCCTGCCTGACTTAGTAATTCTTTGCTCTCAGCGCTCTTGCAACAATCAACATGGTGGCCGTGATTCAACACGATTCACCACAGTTCAATAATTATTTCATGCTAAAACGATTTAACACGAATATAAGCATCTGGTTTTGAAATTGAACCTAGTAGTTATATCAGAAAGAAAGCCTTGGGTAGATTTCCATCTCACCGACGTAATTCAATCAAATTCTTTCCAAGTTATCAGATGTCTAAATCACTAAATGCTTATTAGCAAATCGAATTCACTGTCTGAATTTTTTAAATAGAAAGTTTAAACATGAATTCGCAACCGGCATTTGCGCAATTAAAACGAAACACAACTGTCAGCGATGTAATTTAGTCAAAAAGACAGATGTTTATGTCGACAGCTGAGATAATGAAAGTGGCAATTACGTTGGCGCTTAACGGTGGTGGAACGGATTTAAATACTTGTTAGAAATTTATTAATTGTGCCTTTTGTAAAGAATTGAGTAACAACGCATTGTAACAAGCCTCTATGGTTTGCAGATGACTTCAAATGACTGGTTCATGAGGCCATGGTTCATTTGATAACAGGGTTTTGTACTTGTTCAAACTGTGTAATGGGGCAAACCCTGGAGCTGGTCGCCTACAGAATGACGTTCACGATGGTACCTATAAAAAAACAACCGAACGGCATGGAATTGGTTTTGTGGTAAAGATAGCGACCTGGTGAATAAGCCCTGTGCCGCAGCACCACCACCACCCACCCACGTCGGTGGTGGCGTCGTCCGGGACACCGCTCGGACAGTCTCACTTCGTGCCGAGTCGCCATCCCAGGAGCGTGAAGGGAAGCTGAGAAGCTCAACCAATGGCCTCGGCATTAAACGAGCTGTCAGCTGAAGTAGCTGGCTGTATTTGATGCGGAAAATAGCAGTCGGTTAAGGGAATTATGACCTACGATTCGAAATGCGGTACTAGCGACAATAAGACGAGTGCAATGTTGGGTTAATTGGGCTGGACTTCCGGGACGCCTTGTTGAGCCGCCAGTGAGCGAGGGGGCGATTATTCCGCCTGCACTTCTGGCTAATCCAGATGGCCATGGGGGATGGTTTCTTTCTACTTAATACGGTTTTAAATCCTTTGATTAGAATATGTTTACTGGAAGGTAATGCGATTGCCTTACTAAGGTCGGCATTCGGACTCGGATACTGAGGTTGAGGAAAGCGCGCCCCAAGGCAATACCACTGTGCTCTCTTCTCTCGTTCAATTCGGCTCGAATCTCTTCCGACCGGACGCGAAGAAGGCCAGTGTGCGGGCGAAGGGTCGCTCCGCGGCCAGTGCGGCGGCCGTCGAACTCGATCCCGCCACCGTCGCCGCTATGGAGGCCGCCGCTGAGCGCGAGTACGACAAGGCCTGCTTCGTTCTCATCCAGTGCATCAATGGCATTGAGACACAAAAGGAGGGCTTGCAAACTCATGTAAGTAGATTCAGTGGAGCGAGCTGGGTTCTCCTTGACAATTTTCAGCACTCCCCACGTGACCTTAACTTGTTTGGACAGGAGCGGTGAGTTAAAACGAAGAGAGACAAATGTCATGGATTTGCTGAAGAGGACGGACACTAAAGAGTCATTATGACGTGAAAAGTGGAACAAGCAGTGCAGTCGGTCTTTAAAACCAAGATATATACGAAAGTAACAACAAAATTGATAATGGTAAAGAGATACTTTTTGATCGAAAATTCTTAATTTTCGAGGTAAAATGTCACCCACATTTACATCGCTTATCTGCCTTCCTACATGGCAAATGGCCTTTAATGTGACTATTTTTCTACTTTTTCTAAAAAAAAACTTGATCAACCTCTGATGTTGAATGCTGCACTGAATTATTTTGAGAATTATTAAGCATCACACCTTAAAACTCAGGTGGATTGGATTCCACAGATTTAGGTAATGGAATTTGAAACATTGATATATCTGTTTGGACCACTGTCCTTTGTGCCATGGCTGTCTGAGCAGATTGTGAGGATAGTATGTACCCTTTGCAGTGTCTTCTTTTCTTGGTTTCTTTTGGTTTCTAAAATTAACTTTGATTAATTACAAATACAGATCAATTTACCGAATAACTGAGATGAGAGGGGTGACTTGGCTGGTCGTCACGGTTAATTCATCCAATCTGGCGACAGTAAGACCTTAAATTAAATTTCTAATCCTAAGCGTGATCTTCCCCACACTCGTAATCCAAAACCTTCCCGAATTCCCTCGTGGGGGAGGGGGTAATGCCTAACGCCTTTCTCTATTCCTTTCTATGCACGTGACCAGCCCCCAATTGGTTGAATTTGCATTTCCCAAAACACCAAGGAGATAACCCCCGCCTTAATCCAGAACCAATAAAAACCCTGGTTCATCAAATTGGGCGTCAGTAATTGGCTCCGCGCATTGCAACTAAACTTAATTGCCTTTTTTTTTTTTAAAAAAAAGTCACCATCGAACTTTAAATGGCAGTTTTATGAAGATAAAATAGATCAGGAGTTTCTAAAGGCAGTAACAGTTTGTCATTCATGGGGAGAGCTTGTCTTTACAACGTGATGACTGTTGCAGCTGTTGATCATGAGATTGTTTAAATTATTACAATGAACATACTATGTATTTGCGTAAGGTGTACTCAATACCCTCTATGAGGACATCAAACCCATTATGGGTTCAATCATTGTCCTTGAAAAGATAGACGTTCTAATTAAACAATTCGATGTGGTGATCTGAATTAATTGTAGAGGTCTGTTTGGTAGTATCAAATCCACGTGCGTGCCTACGACGTGTGCACCGCAGATGTGCACCAGTAATTTGCCCTCTCCAGTGTCCTCTCGCTGCCGTCCAACTCCCAGTGTCCGCAGAAACGCAGAAACGCAATTTGTCCATTCCGCTTTGTTTGCACTTTTGCACAAGCACAGAAACAGCGGCAGCAGTAGCTTCGTGTGATTAGTTCCTACGCGCGACTGGTCACGAGTGTAATTTAATTTTGAAAAAAAACCTAGAAAAACTTCTTTCTTTGTTGTTTTAAAGCAGCCGCTTGGCAATTGACGCACTTTGTGGACACACAGTTGGTAAAGGGGATTGTGGACGACGTTACTTGCCCAATGAAGTCACGAAAAAAGTAGCCACTTAATGCATTTCGTGGTAAAACCAATTTATTACTAGAGTCGGTGAGTAGATCAACGAACCTCGCTTGTCTTATCCAACCGTGTAAGGCGTGCATATAGTTGACTATTCCATTTTGTTACTCAAGTGCTGTATTTGTCGTAAAAAACACGCTCGCACCAAAACAAGAATAAACGAAAGTGGGCCTGCTGCCACATTGCGGGGAAATATGCATGCCCACAATACGGTAGAAATCGCTGTGCTTATGGCACTAGTTGGAATGGTTAAGGCACTTTTACACATCACAAGATGCACCCCTGCGAGAGAAAACGTATGGAAATTTTGTTGAAACCGACGAATTCATTCCGCATCACAATAAACTTGTTAAATATCGCCAACGGTTAGGATAAAAAATATATCTTAACCTGTAGAAATCGAGCACTAATTAGTTTAGTGAAAATGGCGTCTTTTTAGACATTAATTGAAGTTGTGGTGAGCAGCACGCGAACGAACATGATTCAATTGATTTACGTGAATGAACTTCACCTAACTATGTTCTTTCAGGGATCGACGTTTAGCAAGGCTATATAAACGTACTTGTTATCTTGTACACACACACACCGCGGCTGCATCAATAAATTAGTTGGGCTATGCGCCATCAGCATTTTCTGCTCCTTCGGTCGGACCGTGTCAGTGTAGATTGTCGGCCCTGGTGTGCTTTCTAAAACCGCACCGGGGCCCACTGCAGGGTCTTTTCGTACAATATGACATCAGCCTACTTGGGGCGAACGATCGTGCGCCGACGAAAATTTTAAGGCCGTGGTTAACCAAAAATAATGAAATAAAAAGAAGCACCCACTTTTCAACCAATTGTTGTTCTTGCAGTAAGCATGACCAATCAAATATACTAGTTCAAATGGATTGCTGAGGGAGAGATAAAGTACATTCTATTTTATAATCAGTTTATATGTTTGCCTAAATAAGTCTAATTTCAGAACGTTAAGGTTCCATGGATTCGCAAAATGCGTAGTAATGCCAGCATGGGTATGTCAGGTGTTTCAACACGACGTGTTCGCAGGGAACCAATTTTGAAGCCTTTTTTCGCCAACCTATTTTGGGCAGTAAGAAGATGAAAGGAAATATCGAAGGATCTACTGAGGCAGTCTGTGATCATTTCATCAACTCTTCCACTTGTTGCAACGGAACTTTTTTTCATAGACTAGGACAGGTTTTGAGCCAGTGGTGTTCTCATTTGGAAAGTACTAGTTATCACGCTAGGCAAATTGCAGTTTTGAAATAAAGGCCACCAATATCTTGCATGCTGATGGACTGAAAAATTGCAGTTTCTTCCTAATGTAAGCCAACGTAAAAACGACAGTCCACACCCCGTGTGCATCTGCGGTGATTTGGTTGGCGGCCCACCCGACCAAGAGCACCTGCAGTCAAGCTTTTATCCGAGTTTATTATCAGCAGAACAGGGGCTTAAAGTCCACAGGCCAACTGAACCATTTCAAACCAAAGCCGGTCTTTCCGGTTTCAGAATGACTAGCCATAAGGGCTAAATAAAAACGATTAGTTGGTTTTAAACAAATAAGTAAGCCCCACTTTATTAACAAAGTAGAAAGATATCCATGAAAAAAGTTCTACCGTGATAAATAGTAGATCCGATTGAAATCAGATCAGTGATCTGAAGAGTGTAACATGTTCTTATCCATTCCTTTTATATACCTTATACAAGAATATCATTAAAAGGTCACAGAATGAATCGACTGTTCGGTTCACCGTCAAAGTCTCCCACTTTCAATCATAGATCTAGCGGTTAATTTATTGAATGGCACAATCCAAGCCGTTCGTACTCGCTTTAATGGTTATGTAGTCTGCCTAGCTAAAGAAAGAAAAAAATGTTTCGCAAAGAAGCACCACGACTACCTAGTCTCCTCTCTGCAAAGTAGCTGCCTGTTTAGATCTTAAACTCCAAAATAAACTCCTCAAGATAAAATTTTCGGAGCTTCCACGATCTCAAAAAATTTGCAAAGCCTATAAAATGTTTAGTCTGGTTTATATTGGGCTTTCTGACTATGGCTGAACTTGTGTAGCTTGAACTTTGTGCGGTCTTGACTCCTCGTGAGTAATTGCAACATATTTTAGCTTTTAAGATGGTTGAGGTTGTTTTTCTCTATATCTAAATTTATTGCAAAAATTAACGTCAAATACAACTATGCGAATGTCGTTGTGTGGTAGCTATTTAAATTAGATGAAATCTTAAACAATCCCATCCGAATCGCCATCGGATGCCGTTCTCACACAAGGGTTTAGTGATTGCCTACGGCTTATTCAAGTCAGTCCATCGTCTTTCTGCGAAGACATTCTCACGAGTAAAGCAAAGTTTCAGCAAATTATTTCAAAAAGAACTGACTGACTGTTCTGCTTCACCAACTGCGCCTTGTTCACTGTTGTGTTGGCTTACATCGTCTGACTTTTGATTTGACAGTCAAGTGTTTATTTTGGAAAGCTTATTTAACTTATATGATAGCTCTCTTGCGTGCTGTTGGTATTTTGGCAAAAAACGATCCTCAGACATCGTCAAGGAAAGATGTTATTTTTGTTAAACCCTTGAGCACTAATCACAGGCATGAGCAAAAACAAGTAATCTTTATAACGTTCTTTGTAAACACTCCACTACCGTACATACAGCAGATTTGGAATGCTTTTGATCTGGCTCAGTTACCAAATTTTAAATCGCATTACTTGCGCTTTTCTGTTAACTTGAATGCACTTGAAAAGACGCGTGAGTTTCTGGATAACCCTGTGTTTACCAAACTGAGTTCCAGGAACCACTCTTGCATGGATAATAGTTACTGTTAGTGTACCAAAAGACAAAATACCAAGTCTGATGTTAAATAATATGCTCTATCATCTGGTGAACATATTTTAGCGCCTCGCATACGGATCTGGCTTTTGCCATGGCTACGGCTATTATTTTAATGATTCAACATTTGGAGGATAGAACAGCACTACCTCTCGTTTGCAATCTCTGCTGACAGATAACCAATTTCGCTCAAATCTGCGTTTACCTAAATTTGAATGTCCGATGTAATTTCAAGCACTATTAATGGTAGAGTTGGATGGTTCAACTCTTGTAAGGCCAATTTTGTCTCCAGATAAAATTGCTCCATTGGAAAACGCATTGGTCGCACTCTGAAATACTCTTTCTGTCATTTTTTGTCCCAAAATCGGGCATATTCTTAGGCATTTAGCCAAAAAAGGGAGACAACACCTGTAGAATCCATCAGTGTGATCATATTCACAAGCGGTAAATTCACAAATACAATTTTTTTCAGAGAACTTAATTGTGGGAATTATTTACTTTTCAGGGCATTTATCGGGTACCAGCATCGAAAATCAAGGTCGCTGCGGTTGTGGAAGCCATACGAGTTGCCGAGGAGTCGGGATATAGCTCAATCGATCTGTCAGAGGAATACGCAATCACCCTGGCCAGCACTTTGAAAACCCGTCTTATCCAGGTAGGTCCAACCATTGTTACTCCTTCACCTTTAAAACTGCTGTCGAACACATACAATAACCGCGTTCTCTAGTGAAGTGAATTATGGCAATCAAAACAAGCAGCGTTTTTGACCGTTCGTTTTTTTTCCTAAGGAGCTAGTAGTCCTCGTTACTGCACTAGTCACTGCTGACCCACGTTCATTTAGTAGATGAAAATGATTTTAAAAGGTCCCCTATTATGGCCAGCCATTTTGGTGATAAACGCTGGTGAGAATGCTATGCTTTCGGATATAAAATAAATTCCCAATTCAGCTTACAAATAAATTAACTTTTATTAACGCACTTCGTAGCTATGGCATTTAAAGCGATTCATTCACCTAAAGTGGCCGTCACCTTAGCACAAGCTAAATTTAAATTGTGAAATAACAAAATCGGCTGTGCTGTTCATTCGATCTCCTGCGCCTGCGTACTTAGCAGACCTTTTGCATGGCAAAAAAACTCCAGCTTGAAATGTAAAAGTACTCGTGCGCTTTCCTGAAAAAAAAGTCACTATAAACGTGGAACTAGATAGAGTAAGTTCCGATGACGACCTTAAGGGCTGGCCCAGTGTTCCTCGGGCCAATAATGCTGTTTCCGCTTTTGGCTGTTCCGAGAGGAAGTGTGTTCCACCGACAAAAACACGTGTAAGTGTACCTACCAAAAGACAGCACCATACACCAGGCATTGGTATGTACAGCGAAGAAGGTGCTGTTGTGTGTGCCACCAGCTCCGATAACTGTCTTGAAAAACACCACACGACCCCTGCTTTCACTGCTGGCTAGTTATGTGTGAACGTTGAATAATTAACATAACAAGCTACCGACCGATTTAGAAACCTAGTAAACATCGATTATGAGGATGGATATATGAACTAAAAAATTTAAAATAACTATGCTGAGCGATAAAAATCATTAGAAGATTGTTAGCACTGACTACGCAGTGTGTTGTGTTGAAATGACAACGCCGTAGTCAGTGACGTTTTGCTAGATCTTATTCCTTTCAGGTGAATCATTTGTGCTAGAGTAGGTGTTGTCTAGCAATCTAAAGCAGCCCACACACAACCTGACCGAAAATGTTTGAGGGCTTAGTAAGTTTTTCGCGTGAACTGCATCCCCGGGTTAGTCAGTCCTCCGTGCACGGAAAAACGGGACCTCCAGCAACTTGGGCTTCAACCAAACTGCCCGTTGTTTTCATTGATCGACAGCCAGGTGTGTGTGTGTGCGCGCATTCCAGCCGTGGCATTGCTCTGTTCATCTTGGTCGTGACGCACGCAGACATTCCACATTAATTATTCATGGTTTTGTCTAAAATGGCATTTAATCCCTAAGTTATGATTACAACTACGATTACTTTCAATTTTAACATTTACTTGCATAGCTTTAACTTTCAGTAAGCCCTTACGGTTCCACAAAATAGACTCCTTGCAAACGAGGCCATGGTGATACTGACAATTTAAACAAGTTGTTGGTGCCCTGTGAAACAGTGCTAGTTCTACAGGTGTGCCTATCGACTTACTGTCTGCTATGATACTGCGCCATTTCAATTCGTGGGGTAAAGCATAATCGCCTTCAAACAGATCCCAGACCATGTATGCGTTTCTTGCCTCGTGCACTGTTAGGACCTGAATCACGAATCCTCTCAGTAGCGTGCAAATAGCTGTTAGTACGGAAGAACTATCATTGATGCCTTAGGGAAATTATCCGAAAAAGAAACGCCAATCAAATAATTTGTAGCACAAAAATAACAGGTTAAATAACTTGATAACAAGTTGGCACCATCAAAACTATGAGCTAAACAGTACAAAATCTAATGCAAATTTTTTTGTACCCGATTACGCTATTTGCATTACAAACGGTCTTTGTCCAGACCAGGAAAGCCTGTGTTGTGCGCAGTTTTAATGACTTAGAAACTAGACAGCAGAGCCTGCGTTTCCTTTTCCCACAGAATATCGTCGTCTAGTAAACTGTTAAATGCACATTTACCATTTCAGCTCCCCGAGCCGCTACTAAGTTACAATCTGTACGACCAGTTTGTAGTTGTAGGAAAGGTGAGTCGAAACTTTCTTCCACTATTTGTCAATGGCGTCACACTGCGTTTCCATAAATGAGCATTCAATGGATTTAAATTGCAGAAAATAATATTTGAAAGTTAGAACAAAGTCTAATTTTTGCAAGAGTGAAATCCTATTAAGTAATAAATTATTGTTACAGTCGCAAGGTACGACAATATCAAATTTTCCATCATAATGCTTGCCTAAGACAAGTCGACAAAGGCCTGGTCAGTTCATCGAAACACCAGCCAGGGGAGGTCTTTTCGACAGTCGACCTCGAGTCGACATTTTCATCATTTTTTGTCCATTTGGTCCGGAACTAAGTTAGCTAAAAAAGGCTCTTAAATGACACACAACTAGTCCTTCTTGCTGAGTCGCATCAGTGCTAATCGCGTCACTGTGGCGGTGCATGAAACCAATTTCTTGGGCAGGCAAAATATCCAGCGCCTTCCGCAATGTCTTCTGCAGAGTGAAGGTGCAGAGAGCTCCACCTTGGAGGCTGTGAGACCGCGAAGCAACAGCGCTGACTGCCCCACAAGGCAGCGTCTTGTGTTGCAATCGAAGAAAAAAACGACAGGAGTGATGCAAAGGTGACACGGGTGGTCCAAAAAACGCTTTGTTTCCGTTATCTATTCAGAGAAGGCAATCGCAACTGTATAAAGAAAGACCCCCGAGTGTCCGAAATAGATTGTCAAGCAACGAAAATCTGTTTCACCAGTCCTGGAAAAGGGTTCGCATCTTTGGGTTACAGCTGATATTTAACTACAAAATCGTCGCCTTTTCCTACTTTCGGGTTGTCAATCCCGTATGCACACTTGTGATGTCAAATAGGCAGGCAGTAGGTTGCCATCGGTGACATTTGCATCTACCGGAAGTAGTCCTTGGTAAACTAAATAACTAAATATCCCACTGCGTGTGTCAGCGCTTGAGAATGTGTGATTCTCGCACTCTCATTCATGGCACGTGGTATTGCAATAAAGACAGTACGGGTATACGTGATGAAGCAAATAGTAGTAGTTTCAAGCCATTGGATTTGACCAGACGCTGGCCTTTTCCCTTGCAAACAAATTGTTTAAGTAGAGTATTTGATAAAATCGAACATGTGGAAGCTCATCTCTTGAAATTTGTCGCTTGTCAATAGGTGGAAACAAGCCACAGCTAATGTTCAGTTCATTGCGTTAGATCATTTCAAGGCGTTGATTTGTTTACGGCGTTTGTGGGCCAAACGTGTGACTCCACGACAATGCGGATGTTTGCGTTGTAACAGCGTATGTACTTAGATGCGCGTATGAACCGACACTGCGCCGAAGTACTCCACTTAGTCATCAAACCGCGGTATTTATTAAAAAAACCTACGTGTGTCTAGGCCCTTGATGGAGCCGACAGCGCCACGGTCGATGAACAAGCCAAAAAGCTGCATAATTTGATTTGTCAACTGTCACCAGCCAATCAACGGGTTGCTGGACTTCTGTTCCATCATCTAAAAAGGTATTTTGCTGTGAGCTTATTTGGACAAGAACACATTGCTTAGATTATCGCAGTTTGTGGTACAAAATGTTCATTCACATTACCTTACTTCGTTGGATTAGGTTTCAACATTTGATATTTTACACGTCTTTGAAAAATCTGCACGGTCGCCACAACAATTTTGCTTACTATAATAATTTTGTTTCGTGAATTATGCTTAAAACAGTATGAATTCATTTGTAAGCAATATGCTTCAAAATCCGCTTTGTAGGATATCAACCTTCCGATCGGTAAATCAAATGGGTGCTGCGAACTTGGCCACGATGTTCGGTCCCACTGTCCTTCGGCAAAAACCTAAGTTTGTTTAGCTTTCTACTGTATTCAGTTGAGTAGCGAGAATTTGTAAAACAAAATGTTTCTTACTGCTAGATTTAATGTCGCGAATATGATGGAGTTTGTGGACAACAATTGGCTCATGAAGGCAGTTGAACTTTGCATTGATCGCGTTTCTGACGTTTTCGGACCCGACTCCGACTTTGCTACCAACAAGCTATTGCAAGTAATCAGAGCTAAAAGAGCAGAAATCGAGCCTGCGGAAGCACAAGTGACCTCGTCGTCGTCGCCTGTGGCCATTTTCAGTGCCCCCGTGCCAGCTGTGGCAGACCCACGCGAGGCATTCTTCGCCGACATGAGCGGGGCTTCTGCACTCGCTACGCGTAAGCATTCATTTATTCTAACCCTTGGTGGTGCACTTCGCAAATTTTACCCCCCAACGAAATCCATAGAAAACGGCATAAACCTGTGTTTCGGCTAAGACTTTGTCTTATTGCTGTGTCAGCGTCATAAAAGATTGTTGTGATACGTGTTGAATCACACTCCTTGATCCGGTCGCTCCAGCCTCCGACACAGGGTTCCCCTTTTCGAAGGCATGTCGCCAGCCACGCAGATCCTCAACTCCCCCCTCATTCACACGGATATTTATCTTGGATTATCCTCACACCTAGGTCTCACACATCCGAGGTATAAATACACACGCGCAAACCCCACACACAACACAACGACACAAACGTGGTTGAGCTCTGAAGTAAACGGTTTTGTCCACGTCCTATTAGGTATCAGAGAAGCGTAATCGGTCCAGGGTTAATTAAGTGGCCCCGGCGTGGTTCAAGACCACATGCTGGGGCCCACAACAAGATATTACTGTCTTGATGACAGTGATTAGCTGATGTGGTAAAGGTAACGTGGAATTAATGCACAATGACTTGCGACTTATTTATTAGGTAAGACAAGAGGTTATGAAGCAGCAAACGATTTGACCCACTGAATTGCTCTTAACAGATCGTAAAAACGCCGATGCTTCCATTTTTTCAAGGTGCCCCGACAAAGTCCCACTCATTTTTATTGGCCTTGTAGTCGTGAGTTTGGTTAGGTGACGTGTGATTTACAGTATTTCAGATTTTAAAAACAATAGTCTTTCCGAAAAAAAATACACCTTTTCTGATAAGGATGAGTTGCTTTTACAATGCCAAACAATCGGCGATATAAACTGCCGAACTTCACATAGAAAACGTTTCGTTTCTAGAGCCCCCAACAACTTGGCTGAAAATTTCCACCTCCAAATCAGAACAGACATCGCCACTTCCAGCTGATCGGAAATCGGTTAGATCGAGGACGAGTGTTGACTTGGAAAGAGTTACCCCGGAATCGCAGGCATCAGGTGCCTCAACGGCCCAAAAAGACGTCCCTCCAACCAGAACCCCGGAACCCACAGCTGAATCTAGCAGTAGTGGTGGATCTGGCTTCAAACGCCTTATCGGTGCCAAGGCACAAAATCTTCATCAGCGCTTTCAGAACCTTACCTCTGGGTATTCAGAAGGTGCAGCAAAGTCGGGACTTGTTTTCAGCCCCAGGAAACTCCTCCACTCTGCCTCCCTACGCAATTCTCCCGGCCAAAAACCCCGGAAACAAGATACGACTCCGCGGCCCTCCAAAGACACCACCAAGGGTCTACACGTCGCCGACTGTAGTTTCATTGACACAGGTTAAATGAGAATGACCACTGCGCATGTCTACTAAGCAGACAGAATCACGGTTAATTCTTATAACCCCCCACTTCCCTTTAAATTCCAGATTCAGACTCCTAGAGGTAACAGTCTGAATGCATGATCCCTCATGCATGACACGCTGCACGCTAGTTGACGTTAGCGGACACGGCGCGCGCATTTTGAACAAGTAGGTTTTGAGTAAGCCCGTTTATTGTTTCAGGTACACCGAGGACGTGACTGATCAAGTGTACGTGTGCCTCCATGCCCCTCTAGTCAGCCCTGCTGCAAATGCAACAACCACGAAACAGCAGCCACTTCCTCCATTTCCGTCTGTTTGATTTTTCTCCTTCATTTTATGCAACAGACTTTCTTGTTGCCGATACAAATACACTGGCACTGAACTTACGGCTGTAGGTGGGTCTGGCTCGCACACCACCGTTTCTAGATGCGCATGTGCTTCGACGAGTGCGTGCGTAAATACGGCACCGTGGACTCTCTTGATTAAATTCGATCTTATTCCCGGAACTCAGAGCAACAAAAACAAGAAAACATTAACGAGTCTAGATGCCTATTTATCGGCTACTTACCCAACTAAACACTCTATAGATGTGTAGCAAATAACCCTGATCAATCTAACTTATACGCCTACCTGGCAAGAAACGATATGGCTAATTCCCTATATCCATCCATGCAGTGCAAAATTCAACCACTAATTAACCACTTATAATTTATGAAAACTTAGCTAGCGCTAGCTCAATATATCAGCTTCCGATTTAGCATTGGATATTCGTTGTACTATGCCTGGGGTAGTTTGCTGTGGTGCTTTTGGGCAAATAATCAGAAGTTCGAGGAATTCCGAGGCACTTTGGAAAGTTTCTTAATTCTTGCCATTGTTTCAAATGATGAAGATTAACCAGGGCATTTTATGGATCTGCGAATAAAGTCCACTCCATTTGGTCAACAGCTACATTGGGCTATGGAAACATCGCCTCACTTCTTGCCGACTACTCGCCCATGAATCGCTAAGTGCCGTAGCACTGCTTTACGCTATAACTGCGCATGCTCCACAATAATACTTGACAGATTCAGTTGCGAAACTGAAACTAGTGCACGTTTGGGAAGTAACAAAAACGACCTAATGAAAAGTGATTTCACCGTTCGATGCTCTCGAGTCCACAAATCGATATGGTAAGGCGCACATTCAAGCTCAGGGGTCACTTATTTGATAATTCAGTCAGCAGCGGGGAAGAATCAACAATGCCACTAATTGGTTGTGGGGGCACCAAACGGCTTAAAAAGATCACTTTTTGCACGCACACACACACACGCTCGGTTGGTGGAGCTGTTCAACGGTGAGTTGGTGGCGGGAAAAGTGCGACAGGACACACGTACAAACACATGTCACAATGCACTAGTTAGATTAAGTTTTACCAAAACGCTGACATGATGAGATTCCTGTGACCTGTTATTCATTCCCAACAAGGAACAGAGCCAACTCAACGCTATCGGCATCCGAGAATGGCATGCTTAGAGCCCCAGATCTTCATATAGTAAGAAATACAAAACTTCTGTGTTAATAAAATACGGGTGGCTACTCCTTTGGTTTCAGGAAAACACGCTGGAGGTTGAGGTTTTTGGTGGTTTTGCCGAAGTACGTAAAATGGGGACGAGAGGTGGGTTTGTTGCGCGAAGCAAAGATATCGAGGGAGGGTGTGGGGGCGGTGCTGGTCGATGGTCGGGAGTTATCGGTTGTGGAGGAATTCTTTTCAAATATGAGATTGGTTCCCAGGCATTCGGAGTATGTGCCTTGAAAAATCGCTGGCCCAATCTAACAGGGTCAGAACAAGTGACCGTCAATGGAGGATTTAAACATGTGATTGTGAAAAACTTGCCGATTTAATTATCAGGAGTAAAAATACGTAATGGGTGAACAATTAGTTCACAGCCTTTAAGTTTAAAATGAGTTAAAGAAATCTCATGCATAAGAAACCCTCTATCGAGTTCATTTAGTATGTAATCCAACAGCGCAAGAATTTACGGGGACTCGAGACAAATAACTTCAAATTTTGTCAGGAAAATTTTTACTTTTTAAGACGCGATGGTTTAGCCGGTGTGGTTATAAAAAAAGTACCAAAAATGCAATTTGATATTTTGCTTTAACTGGGCCCTCATAGTAGAGCACATCTTGGCAGCATCCACAAGAATGGAGAAAAGGACCAAGTGACGCCATTCAAACTACACACAATTCCCATTGACACAAACGCCAATTCGTCATTTTTAAAAGGGAATCACGATAGATCACAGCAGAGCTCCGGTAGTTGGGAAGATCTCGCATCTACACACACCCACCTTCCTAGCCTTCGGGGAAAACTGAACTCTGAGTATGGCTATTAACTGCTGAGTTAGGCGGGTATTTTCCTTCAGTAGATACACAAGCATCTGAAATTACTCAATAGTCAACCTGTAAAGAATTGCATGGTAAAAAATAGTTCCTTTGGTTTGAAATTGTTTTCTGACAGGGTATACACTAAAAAAATTTACAACCGATTATAAACGTGGTACAGATGCCTGAAAAATAGGAATTAGCAATGGCAAAAAAGTACAAGACACCACCGTACATGCTATAAAAAAGAAAACGATAGCTCCAATAAAAAATTTGAAATGATAAGAGTTTTAAGCTAAATTAAAAGTTGCGCTAGACGACAAGCAGGAAGACTACTAGGAAGCACCCAGCACTTAAAAGAACGAATGTGAGCTTGGTCTCAGAAAGATGGACAAATAAGGATAAACTCACTTGTATCAGAGGGCTGTCAGTGTCAAGATCTAACAGGAGTACCGACTTCCCAGGTTCCATTAGTTCCGTTTCAACAGCTCCAACACAATCTGCATACAAAATCGTATCTTGTAACAAATCCCATTCATCTTCCTCATTACCTCCAGTAGCTTCAATAGCTGTATGAGATTCATCGTTTTCTTCACCGTTTCCTTCTACAGCTGGTTCAGTAGCAACATCATCGTCATCAGAGTTTGCCACCCGTGCTTTTTCTACATTTTCATTGCCCCCTTCCAATTCTTGATCGTCAAAACGATGATGACTGGGTGCCGTCACTAGAACATTCGGAAAATTCCTCCTCGTTAATGTCGTAGTCAAGCATGGCTGAATCCAGTGCCCAAAAGCGTCCAATAGCACCAACATCAACGATTCGCGTGGAGAAAACGTGCTTTGCTCTTTCCAAAAATCCCACCTCGTCAACTCTTTTTTCTGGTGGGGCGTCATACAAAAAGAGTCGAAGAAAGCTGCGAAGCGGTCCGTTCGCACTGCCATCAGCCGGTCCTGAACTAGCGTAGTTGTACGGACAGACCTCAGAGTATAAACGGCATCCTTCAGTTCGGTCATCACGCCAAACAAAGTGAGCCAGGCCCAAAATATTGCAGTGTCGCAATTGGCCATGAGCGAGAGCACGAATTCGTTCCTCGACGTGAGTGAGGCTTCGACGGTTTTGGAGACACTCAGGGGTTTCCCAGAGATCGATAGAGGCGGAGAGGAGAGCTCCTTGATAATCGAAATCGTGGGGGCAGGAAGCATACACTGCGGTGGCAAACCCCACTGCAGAGAGGATGGCGGAGGCTTTGATTGGCTTTTCCTGAACTTGACGGGCGGTATCCCGAAGTGTATTGAGATAGTCGGAGCCAATACGATGGAAGTAGGTCCCTAGAATTAATAGAAAGGCTCCAAATTAAGTCTAACTCACCGTCATTTTGGTTTAACGCTTTACAATATGTCAAATAAAAAGTCAAACGCCCTTGGAATGTATACGCTGTTAATTACTGAAACTCAACTTAAATCTGCGTTGTTTGTGAGAAACAGGTGATTTTTTCAAGTGTCGAAGATATTGACCAACTTAAAGGACGTAAGGCAGTGAATATCAGTCTTCACACTATTGCTAAATACTAAGGCTGTGAACCATTATAAAGCCACTGCGATAGAATATCAAGAACGGCAGACGTTTTGACTGGACATGACAGCGAAACCGTGCTTTCTAGGAACAGCAGCAAACAGACAATCTTGAATTTATTCAACAACAAGAAAATAGAAAGTGCACCAAATGCCACTATTGCAAGGTTAAAAAATCGGGAGGAGGCACTCCAATCCGCAGAATAAACAGCTAGGACCACAAAATGGTGCAGGTGAACGTACAAATGTTTCTTCCAAATCGTTTAATAAGGCCATTCCCATTTGCCTTACTACCAAAACCGCGAAAGCCCAGCAGCATGAGACCACCTTAAATGCAGTGTGATGGCGTACATGGACGCAGACATATTGGACGACGTCGAGTTTAGCCAATGCTCTGTGCTTTTGGATAGCCTGCGAGGTAGGAGTGTAGCCAACCAGAGACTAGGGCGGAACAGTGGCAGAATGTAATAAGCGGCACAACCGACCCGGATGGACTGCTTCTGATTTTCAATTCTGGCTTGTGATTGGTCAATAAAGCCTGATCTGATGCGCCAGTCTTCATACTTAGGCTCCGGTATTCCTTAATTTGGTGGAGCCATATTTGATCACTCTAAGTTCAGTCAATGTTGTGGCTCAGTACGCTTCAATAGCCGACGAAAAAGATCGTAAGCCAACTGGAGACAGGAATGACGAGAGGATTTGCAGGTATGGAGGACTAGATTGGACGGTTATTAATGGATACTTCTCGGTTCCGGTATGTTAATAATGGGTACATATCTTTCTTGTTTTATAGCTTGATTAATTTGCTAAAACTATGTTTGGACAGACAATCTTGAAAATTGAAATTGTTGAGTGACCTTAATGCAATTTACTGGGACTTTTAAGCTACATCTCTTTGATTAGTTTCACCTTTAATTCTAGGCAGATAACAGTGCATGTTATATAGATTCAGCAGATTTATTTTAATTTACTCAGGACAAGGATGTCATGAAATTAATGCAAACTGAATTCCATCTTACTATTGGGTTATGCGTTGACCTGCATGTTCAAGTCGATGGACGCATCGGAAAGGTTTAGAGCAGAAATAGCAAACGTTTTGTTTCACTCGTTTGCTGAATTTTCTGAAAAGTTAAACATTTTCCAAAAGGTGGGCATAGGACTAGATTACCTTATGGGGGCTTTCAAGGGTGATGTGTACATGGATCGGCTCAATGGATTTAGTCAACTGTATTTTCTAATGAAGGCATGTCTTTCGACGATGACTACCTTCATGCCGTATTTTTTGTTGTCTCTGTATACGGAATTAATTAGCTTTACATGGTATTAGTTGCGATGTGCCTTGATACACTGAAATTCCTAACCACACGTTCCTTAACGATCAACCTTCCGAAGGTTACCAGTTTTACACAAACTACTTTTTTTTCGTAATTAGCAAGTGACCTCAAAAACGGTGTCCATGTATAATTGTGAATTGGCAAAAACTTCTGCTGTAGCCATCATGTCGGTATGTGAATGCAATTGCCGTTCTCTCTGAGAAGTGTGCTCCACCGAACTCAAGTGTCGTAACCGTAGAATAACCCTAAGATGAAAGCAGATCGATTCTGTCCTTTCTTGTGTGTCATCAATAAATCTTTCAGGAATCCGGCTTTATGTTCCGCAAGCGAGATGCGATTAAACTGCCATTCTTATCTCCTGATTATGAACGACTTGTTTATAAGCGGGTCTACTATGTGTGCATCCACTATGGAAGCTACAAAAGCACATCTGCACGTCCCTTCAAATACCGGTTCGTTTTTCCACATATCTAAGGTACATTCACCTTTGCCTTCGTAGGACCATACGCTGTGACTGTCCTTCTGCTTTTTATCTTCTACTAAAGGATAATTTCCTCACTGTAAAGACTTTTAGAATGATTCATAACCACCCACCTGAACCTACTGTAGTTAAGCGAAGAAAAGTAGGTGGAAGCAGTGATGGAATAAACCTGAGACCTGTTGACGTTTCTGGTATGTTAGCCAAAGTCATCCATGAGCTTAATAGTGTCTCGAGGTCATGGTTCTTACCGCCCTAATCCTGGTGTTGTGGAGGCGCGGCGAAAACGATTGTCTCCACTAATCAACGAGCTTAAATCGCTTCTTCTGGTCAGGTAGACTGTTTACTTAAGTTATAATGCGCCTTCTAATTTAGCCGCACACCAGTTTATCGCGAGGTGTTGGGACGGCTCGATGAACTTATTTGCCTTCTCCATGAGTCTGACTCTAATTAACTCATTTTACTGTAGTTACGGTTTCTGTACAAATTTATATTTTGTCTTATGATTTTAAATATTCCTTTTGGTCTACAGATTCTCTAAGGCGATTGTGCCTAGCTATGCAAAGCACAAGCTGATATCCTTGGGGTATTTTGATTTACACTGGTTCAGAGCTGTCGAATAATATACCGACTCAGTCTTATGCTCTGTTAATTTTTATTGTTCACTGCATTGTGTAGTATCGGAGAAACTGTTTAAATTCTTGCTGTATTAATGTCTCCGCAACGGAATATGTCATCGGACTTCTCTTGTCGAGTCTGATGAAAAGTTCTGCTGTATTCCGTACAACCATCCACCAGCACCTGGTTTGCATGCTCATTCGACTGGTCTCCAGGTACAGCTGTTTTGGTCCTTTTACCGGTAAACATTATTCGATGTTGACTCCTGGTCGAGCCCTCTACTTGAGCCAGCTTGCGGCCAGTACCATGGTTACCTGTTTAGCGTAATTTCATCTGAACACATCGAAAAAGCGAAGAGCAAGTTCCTCGAGGCCGCCAGTTCAGAATGCACCACGTGTAAGGCACTAGATACTGCCCGTTTTTAGGTAGCAAGTTTATTTCACTTACGCTCCTAGCTCCTTCCGTTTGCAAGATGTTGGACTTAACGAGAATAAGTTCACATGCTAGAACTCCGCCGAAGCCTTCTTTGCCTTTAATGTACCTCGTTTAATCGGTCTTTTCTCAGTTAGTAGCGATTTCCATTTTCCGTCCTTTGCAGTCCCTATTATTCAGCCAATGTGAGTTATTTTCATGCTGGTTGTTATTTCGACTTGGAAAACCCACAAGCATGTGAGGTTGGGTTATTTGCTTCCTTTCTTTCTGTCTCATGGCTATCAACTAGCAGATGATTGCCGTATTGTGATTTTATTAGTATTAATTTTATATAAACCTGTCCAACCTCTTTTGAATCAGAAGTCTATGCGTTCGGGAAAAAAGTGCAAAATTCACAGTACTAGTGGCCGATTTCCGCTTTGTTTTGCTCCGAAGTTCCGTTCACTACTAGTCAATTGGTTATTTTTCGGTGCATAACCAGCTTACTTATTGGATGACCTCGCTTTCCCCAATTTGTTACTGACAGTTCAATGACCAATAAATCGGCTAAATCTAAATAAGTGTTGTCATGAGCAAGTCTTCATAATGCAAGTATATGAAACTGTCATGTTTGAATGGGACTTGGTGTGTCCTATAGAAGTTGACCTATTTACATATCACTTTAACACACTAATTATTGTCGTTTTACTAATGTGGTGTTGGCTTAACGGTAATTTATTTATGCCTGTTAAAGGTGACTGTTGGTCTGTTTGCCGTCAAGTGAATTTTGAGCTTGTTTAGACTTGTTTCACGTGTACGGTATCTCTCAGGAATCCGTTCATACCTGAATTACGCTGCACATGTGAATTTATTAGTTGGCTCTGCCATCGATGTTTAATAATTTTTATTCGGTCATAGGACAGACACGTAAATAAAGCTGAATACGGATATCTACCTATTTGTTCGCTGAACCATCAATTCAGCAAGCTGCTTTTTCGCAAGTTCTGACAACATTTCTCTCTGATTGCAAGTTAGATGTGTTTCACTTGTCTGCGAGGACGACGAATGGGTTTTCCACGATTTGCTTAAGTGGATTACGATTAGGAGACCAATGTCATTTTTTTGTGCCAGTGATAGAGTTAGGGGCGCAAAACTCACTAGCAAGGGTTTCTCAACAGGCAGAGGGATGACGAACTCGTTTATAATAGGATTGTTCCATTTCGGTGGTGTTTTACTGCTGTTAATAAGATAAACTGTGCCGCATGTCAAGTGGGCCGGTAGTTTCTCATACGAAGTTAAGTTTAGGTCAGGGGACATTCTGAGGAAGGTTGCTTTTAGCTGAGTGGTAACACTGCTCTTTAGAATCCAAGTAAATGCTTGGACCGCTACTGCTAGGTTATGAGGAAGGGTCGTTTCTAGAGCACTAAACAAGTGTGCCTGACAAGGCGCATGTGTGCCACGTCAGTTTGAATTGTAGCCTGTAGACTCATGCCATCCATTTCTTTTAGCAAAAAGCCCAAACAAATTGATAAACGCCTAACAAGTATGATGTGGTTCGGGAAACACCCACCACTGCAAGGCACTCGGTCAGTTTTCCAATGCGCTTTCCGACCAGGCTTCTTTTAGCTGGCCACTCCCGACTCCTTTCTGGTGTATCGCCTACGCAAGCGAAGCACTGACTCATCGTGTGACCGCGACCGCCCCACGCCCAAGCACCGGCTACGCTTGCCACCGTCAACATTCTAACGTCGCATTCAGTTGGATGCAGACGCCACAAGAGATTTGTGTTTCGCGATTTACTGCATGTTATCCCACACTTTGTCATAAGTCATTCAAGGGTTCGAATCCTCTCATGACTAGGGTCATTGCGGCCTAAAACTAGGCCAGTTAGTGAGATCCTATAGCAAGGTAATCAAACACGACTTCCTGTCCCTGACAGCGGGTGCCGACTGCTCCTCTCGACCACCATAATCCATGGCTAATTCACCAAGCACATTTTCGGAAAGATAATCATTAAGTTCAAGCAATATTAGCGACGCCTATTGAAACTAACTCAGGATGTTCACGAATATCCCCTCTCAGGACCTGAAATATTTTGGGCATAATTGCACGGTTTTCGACTTACCCTAAATTTCCTCAATAAAATGTTTGCAACGTGATTTTAGAGCATCTTTGGAGCATGAATTATTTTCGACTTTTTCAATTAAAATCTGTTGGGTTTTATTGTGCAGCTGGGACCGACATCCCGACCTTGTGAGTCGCCATTCATGTGAATGTGCCCCTTTTTTGGCTATCATTAATTTCGGTTTAATGTGAAGCAACCAGATTCATTTGTTTGCCTGTAGCTTGCATTCACAGCACACACTATTCATCCACTGACTTAAACGCTAAATGTACCGATATGTACCAAAAAGTAGTCACATTGTTGTATTCTAATCTTGGGCGCGGTGTTTTTGGAGGGATACAACCAGTAGTTCG